AATACAAAGTGAAAATTGTACAAATGTTTTTTTTTCAGTTTCGAAAAAACATAAACACCCACCCACACACGCCCAAAATATGCGATCATGACGATTGATCGTTTCCGTTTTGCTCAATGCATTTGTATCCTCAGAAAAAAAAAAAAACATTATTAAAGAGAGCGAGAGAGATCAGTGTAATGAAAATCAAATTAAATACCAAAAATAGCAGAAATTTTATTTGTGTAAAAAATTAATAATTTTTTATAAAATGCATACAAACTTACATACATATGTGTCCATATTGCAGACATACAAGTTGAAAAATTGATTTTTAATATGATTTTGAATACAATGCAATTGTTTCGTAGAGCGAAACAAACAGTAATGCTAATCAATAATTTATTTCTGTATTGAAAAATGATCGTTTGCATGTTTAAGTGTATGTGTTTGGACAAATATATATAAAAATATTTTAGTTAAGGGAACAGAAATGGGGGGCAAGGGTTATAAATTAAAATATATATATGTATGTACTGTTTCTTGATTTTATTATAAGTATTGTATTTGTATATTTTTTTCAAATTTATTTCAAAAGTCTTCGACCGAGATCTAAAACTAACACATTTCGATATTATCGGCGCTTTTAATTCTAAGGATTAGTTCAAAATTCAGCTTTCTTAATAAATATGTTAATCCATACAAATGGTCGATCTAAGTTGGTATTAATATTTACTAGACTAGACTATAGACTAGACTAGACTTGACTATAGATAAAACTAGACTATAGGTTAGACTGCAGACTAGACTATAGACTAGATTATAGACTAGATTATAGACTAGACTATAGACTAGACTATAGACTAGACTATAGACTAGACTATAGACTAGACTATAGACTAGACTATAGACTAGACTATAGACTAGACTATAGACTAGACTATAGACTAGACTATAGACTAGACTATAGACTAGACTATAGACTAGACTATAGACTAGACTATAGACTAGACTATAGACTAGACTATAGACTAGACTATAGACTAGACTATAGACTAGACTATAGACTAGACTATAGACTAGACTATAGACTAGACTATAGACTAGACTATAGACTAAACTGTAAACTAGACTGTAGACTAAACTATAGGCTAGACTATAGACCAGACTATAGACTAGGCTATAGACTAAATTATAGACTAGACTATAGAATAGGCTATAGACTAGACTCTAGATTAGACTATAGACTAGACTATAGACTAGATTGTAGACTAGACTATAGACGAGACTATAGACAAGAATAGACTAGACTATAGACTAGACGATAGACTAGACTATAGACTAGACTATAGACTTGACTATAGACTAGACTATAGACTAGACTATAGACTAGACTATAGACTAGACTATAGACTAGACTATAGACTAGACTATAGACTAGAATATAGACTAGACTATAGACTAGTCAATAGACTAGACTATATACTAGACTATAGACTAGACTATAGACTAGACTATAGACTAGACTAGACTATAGACTAGACTAGACTATAGACTATAGACTAGACTAGATTATAGACTAGACTAGATTATAGACTAGACTAGATTATAGACTAGACTAGACTATAGACTAGACTATAGACTAGACTATAGATAGACTAGAATATAGACTAGACTATAGACTAGACTATAGACTAGACTATAGACTAGACTATAGACTAGACTATAGACTAGACTATAGACTAGACTATAGACTAGACTATAGACTAGACTATAGACTAGACTATAGACTAGACTATAGACTAGACTATAGACTAGACTATAGACTAGACTATAGACTAGACTAGACTAGACTATAGACTAGACTATAGACTAGACTACAGACTAGACTATAGACTAGACTATAGACTAGACTATAGACTAGACCAGCGGTTCCCACCGTTTTTTACTTCGCGGACCCCTTGAGGAATTTATTTAATTTCACGGACCCCCATACATATTTTGATATCTTATTGTTATAAATAATTGTTCATCCGAAAATTGTCTTAGTCCTGGTCCATAAACCCTATAAAATATTCCCGTACATTGAGAATATTTAGAATTTCGGAGATGTTTTCAATTGCATGGTTTTAAATATAGAATGACTTCTAACATGATGTTTAATTTTATGATCGTGAGAGCTTTCATGTTCATTTCTCGTCAAGGTAGCGAAAAGGTTTCTTTATAAAGTATTGTCGACATGTGCTTAAAGAGTCATGTTTCTAAATTTTTTTGCGATTGCATAGGAGTGAGCTGAGTATGTAAGCTAAGTTTTCGGGAAAATATGTGAAAGTTAGCCTTCTTTGATGTTGATGCGGAATGCGTTACCCACATAAAATATAACCTGAACTCTTTGCGAATGTACTGCGAATTTGGATCTTAAATTTGAATTTTAAAATACCTACGAATTATTTTACTGCGTGGTTTTGACTATTTACGCAAAACGCTATGAATTTTCTGATGTTGATTTAATAATATTGGACAACAAAATGAAGTTAAAATCTGTGTATCATGTCGGAATGGAATATTTATATTTAAAATTAACTAGATTAACACTTTTGCTTACAATTAAAATAAAATATTATGAAATGTGACCTAACTTCATATTCCGGGATACCAGTATCAGTATTTAATTCTAAGGCAAATCATTATCCGTCTGATATAAAAACATTTATTTCGATACATATACATTTTTAAAAATTACAAATCACGTAATACTTTACTTTATAAAAGTGAAACAATAAATTTGTAGGGCCTAGCTTCATCCTGATAAACGACCGAAGCAATAAAATTCAAAAAGTCACGAACAAATCTGGGATTATTGAATAAAAATTGTGTATTTTAGTATTTATGAAAAATTTTGAGATATTTTTAATATTTTCTAACATATAGAGAATATTTTTTATTCATGATTTTTTTTCGTTCGTCTTCGCGGACCCCCTAGGATTTTGCTACGGACCACTAGGGGTCCGCGGACCCCCTTTTGGGAACCGTTGGACTAGACTATAGGCTAGACTATAGGCTAGACTATAGACTAGACTAGACTATAGACTAGTCAATAGACTAGACTATAGACTAGACTAGACTATAGACTAGACTAGACTATAGACTAGAATATAGACTAGACTATAGACTAGACTAGATTATAGACTACACTATAGACTAGACTATAGACTAGACTATAGACTAGACTATAGACTAGACTATAGACTAGACTATAGACTAGACTATAGACTAGACTAGACTATAGACTAGACTATAGACTAGACTAGACTAGACTATAGACTAGACTAGACTAGACTATAGACTAGACTATAGACTAGACTATAGACTAGACTATAGACTAGACTATAGACTAGACTATAGACTCGAATATAGACTAGACTATATACTTGACTTTAGACTAGACTATAGACTAGAATGTAGAAGTAAAAAAGTATCCCCGTAATATAGAGTTTGCCTAATTAACAACCCAATATTTAATTTCGAATTTTTCTATGAATTTTTTTTAAAAAGCTACATAATATTTATTTTGATTCCATTAAAGAATTTGAAGTAAATTTATTAATTCTTTAACCTGTTTTTAATCTGAACAATAAAATATCATACAATTTGTATCTATCGGTAAAAATCAAAATTAAATACTAGTACCAACAAGAGTACACCTACACACTCTCATACACGTACAAATAAAAACATTAACAATTCGATTTTTATTTAATAAATTTCTTCACACCTTGTAAACATTTCACTTGTTCTCACTGTTGTTCAGGCATAAAACAAAACAAGATCAAGAGTTTTTTTATTATTGTTAAAAATTTAAACAATATTTTCTTTAAATACAAATACAAACCATTAATATATACAGACACACATTAACCCCAACTGAAGAAGGAAAATTACCCGTAAATTGTTTAGAATAATATAAACAATCGATGTTGAAAAGTATTTAAATTTAGTTTTTCGTTTTGGAAAAAAAGGCACGCGATGCCAGCGGAATTGCTGTGGTAACTGAAATTGTATGTATTCCTTTGGTATATAGAGCATTTTTATTTAAATTCAAATACAATTGAATTTGAATATTACTCACTGCAATGAACAATTTTAAAGATCTTTATTTCCTTATAAAAAATCGTATATGTACTTTTTTTAAAATAGAAATTTATTAAAGTAAACAATTGTTTATGGTGTTGGTACTTGTGTGTCTAAGTTTAGAATTGTTTAGATTTCCATAGCATTTCAATGCAACATTTAGAAATTTGAATTCATTTTGATTAAATGGTAAAGAATCTTCCAGAAACAGATTTTATCTAATGTAAATGACCGCTATGTAGGAGAATTTTTAGAATAAACAGGATATGACTAGAATTGTATGTTCAAAAAACAAACCTAATAAAATTTGGAGAACGTACTTTCATTTTATGATTTTTTGTTTTCGAAAAATAAATTTGAAAAAGAAAAAGCTAAATATTATAAAAATTAAATAAATATTATATTTAAGTAAAATTTTTTTAAGTAGAAATTTGTAACCGATTATGGCCAACAGGCTAGGTTTATTTTGAAAATAAATAAATTAAATATTAAAATCTAACTTTCAAAATTAATTTTTTACCCAAAATACGATTACTTTTTGATACGTAAACTCGATATACACATCTTGTGACTATATTCAAAACCCTAGATTAGATGAAGAAAATGATGCCAAAATATTATCATGTCGACAACTGGATTTAAATTTGAATGAATCAAAAACAAATTTGGACACTTTTACATATAAGCCAAGTTATGCAAGATGTTTAAAACAAATTATATGCAGAATTTTTTTACTCTTATGAAATTTTGTCCTGTCTGTGCAGAGTAAAATGTGTTTAATGTAAGTTCTCGATGTGTAAATGTTGAGAAAAGCACCTGCAGAAACGAATCCTTTTCCAAAGGGATATTTTTACTAGCATAACTATAAAGGAACAAACATTTACTCATTATTTTAATAAAAAATATTAAATAATCTTAATTTTTATTTAAACATAAAATTAGTTTTACTTAAAATACCGGAAAGTGCAAAACAAAATGTGGGTTTCTCAAAACGTCTTTGCCTGAGCTTCAAAAATGTCCATTTGTTTTTTTAATTTGAGACCCCTTTTTTGTTTTACACTAACAAATATCTACTTAATCGTGAAAAATCCAACAATTTACTTTAAAAAGCTAATTTCTTCATTAATAAATACATTTGTTGATCCACCTCGAAGCCATGCAAATTGTTGGCATCACCTTGCAGACGCATAAGTAAACCACCAAAAGAGACATAGGCTGACAAACGGGAGGAGGCTTCATTGTGCGCTTCATCACCCTCAATACGATAGACTTTGCCAAACATTACATATTCAAAACTATCAGCTCTAGTGCCCTCCTGTTCCAGAGGATTGTATTCGCCGGTATCGGGACAACCATCTTCACGCAATGTGGTAGCCAATACCAAACGGAATTTGTCTCCCAGTTCCATGGGATATAACCAGGAATTAATGTCTAATATCAAGTCCATTTTGAAGGATTCTGATTCACAGTGCAGCCGAGAAACACGATCGAACTTTTTGCCCTCTGGATCCATATCTTTCACATTGAAAATATCTTCAAATAAAACACCAGCCATGTTGAAAAGAAATTATTTGTTTTTTTTACGAATAAACTGAAAAGAATTTAACATTAAGTTAATATTTTAAAATTAAATTATATTAAAGGTCTTACCTGTTGATTTTATTAATAATTTTGTAAATTTATGGTAAAATGTGTAAAAATAATAAAATTGTAGCGCGTGTTGTTTACTACTTTTGACAGTTCTCTTTTTTACAGCGATGCCACATCATAATACAAAGAAAATATGGAGCTGCCATTATACAGAACTAAAAGGTTTGTGAATGTGCTAAGCAAAAACTGTAATGCCATGTCATAATGGAAAGAAAATAAAGAGTTGGCAACGTAAACTGCTCAGCCTCAACAAATAATTTTTTTATATGAACTAATCATCGAACTTACGGGTAGGGTGAGTGAGAAAAGTCTTCCCCGTAAGGAATATAAGCGTTTGTGTGTTAAATTGAGAAAATATTGCTGTCCACTGCAGAAATTTCAATTAAAAATAAAAGGTTTGTGACTATACTAAGCAAAAACAGTACTGCCATATTATAAATTAATCTGGTAATAATAAAAAATGTTTGTTGTAGGTTTGAAGGTTTGATGCTTGTTGTTGTTGTTGAAAGGGGGGTCTTTTTTGCCTGACACAATCCCATAAGAAATATACATGTTTGTGTGTTGAATCAAACCAAAACAATACCAAAAAAGCTAAGCAGCTGTTTTTCTACAACAACAACAGTGTATCGAACATTTGAATTGTCAATGAATTTCACATTTCATTTTACAGTTGTGAAAGAGAACAGACGCACAGTGAAAAAAAAATAAAGTGCTAGAATTTTAATTAATTTAATTGGTTTTAATAAGTAAAATTTACTAAAAAATAACTAATAAAAGTGCGAACACAATAAAGAAAAGGAAAATACATAAAAATTGTAAGTAAATCCATGGAAAAGCGTGGGAGTTGTGATTGAAAATTTGCAGCGTCCCATCACCACCTCCATTTTTAAATTCTTGCCACAAAAAAAAAAGCAAGAATTTTCTTATTAATTCTGGCGCTTTTTACTTGTTTCTTTTTGTTAAAAATGTGTAATCAAATTAAATAATGAAATGTTTTCTATTATTTTTAGTTAAAACCAAAAATGTTTTCGTGAATTTTGCAAAAATTATAAACAGCAGATGTTGAACTTTTGTGATTTATTTTGTTGTTGTATGCTTCCCATGTGTTTGCCAGAGGGTTGAAGTGCGGAAGGGTAAGTTTTCCATTATTAGTTGTTCTTGTTTGTTTTGTTATTGCTTTTTTACAATAACAATGCTTTATTATTGTACATTTTGCTTTGTTGCCTGCTTTCTAGTAGAATAAATTTTAAGTAAAATTGCCTGTATAAATTTTAGTTTTTAATAATAAAAAGGAAGTCTTTGGTGGAAGTATTTTACTAAAATTTGCTTAAAATTAAAGAATATAGCTAAATTTTGTAATATATAGTGTTAAATATGCAGGGTTTTTATAAAAATTAAGCATACATTCGTGTATAAGTTGGGTGGCAAGTTAAACATTGATTTTTAACAATTTTATTTTAAAATTAAAATTGTACCAAGTTAAATTAAATAAATTGCAAATATTCCTGTATAACGTAGTTATAAAGACTATCTTTTGGTGGTTTTTAAAAAAAAAACTTATTTTGTTTGTAAAAATTTGTGAAATCCCGACCAATCTGCCCCTAAATCGAAAGACTTTGGTCACAAACTTTGAAAATGTTTCATTAATTTTATAATTAATGTGTTTTTTTAACACTTCATTCAATCCGGATGAAAATGTTGCATTAAAAATTTGATAGCCGGACTTTTGCGGAATGATTAAAAATTGGAGAATTTCTTCTCACTATTGAAAGACTTTGGTTACAAACATTGGAAGTGGTTTATTTTTTTTTAACAATTCATTTCTTACTTAAGATATTTGTCTTAAAACTGATTTTTTGTAGACGGTATTTTTACCGGATGAAGCTTTACAATGTGAGTTCTATTGTAGCTTGGAATAAGGTAGTAATTACTAGAACAGCTTCTTTTTTGTTTGGAAGCTATTGAGTTTGATCTTTTAAGAGTTGTTCTTTCAGTCAACCGGACTAAAGGCCCCAGAATGTAATGTTTAGTTCGGTATTACCTATCGTTTTATGCAAATATAAATTTCAACAAATTTTAATCAAAACGATTGATATTTCTGTTTTGATGGATTCTTATTCAGCATGTCCAAATTGCAAAAAAATTGAATAGTTCTATTACATATGAACTTCAGGGAAGTGTTTTTAACCAAAAAAACTTTTTAAATATGTATTTCTAAAAAAAATAATGAAATCTCTTCTATGTTAAAGAATCCAATTTAAACCTCAGTTGTACAAAAAGAATTAACAAAGCATTTCCTTAACTCTATACAAATACACCTTCATATTTATGCTTTAAAACTAATATTATACCAATAACATAATCTAAGGTCAAAGTATAGCAGATTTACAATTCGTTTTACCCAATCATAACACAATTATTTGCTTATCTTGTTTTGCCTTTAGTCAAAATGTTTTGCTTAATTTGAATATGCTTATTCAGCACCCTTAGTACCGTTTAGTTTAAAGAACACAGAAAATAAATTACAAACACAAACAAAAGATATTGAAATAATATGCATTGATTTCAATAATTATTCACAAAAGCCAAAATATAGTAATTGACAAAACAACAGTAAAACAAATTTACATTGCATTTCTGTAAAAAAAGAAACAAGAAACAAGAAAACAATGAAAACTTACATTGAACTCAACACTAGAGACCTTAACAAAAGGGTCGCAAAATATACATACATAAGAGTGTTAAAACCAGTAGTTCTATTTGAGTAAATTAATGTTAAAATATATTTTCAACATTAATTGCCGTTAAACTAAACGATTTTTAGGTGAGGACTTAGTCAAGCATATAGAAAAACATAAAAAACTGCTGAAACAGAAATTAATTTTGCTTATAAAAGCTAAAAGAGCAAAAGAAAATTAGAACTACATAATGAAGAAAATCCCAGTTTTAAAATGAAAATTTTTTAAAATTGCCACAGTTTTTTTTTGAATCAAGGGAGTGGTGATTTTAACTCGTTTATAATTATATTAAATATAGAGTTCATTGTAAAAATATTTGTAGTTTTTTTTTGTGTTTTTTCTTCCTCAAATGTTTTTGTTATGAATATACCAGTATGTTTGTGTAGTTATTGACTTGCAGTCATCAATAAACATCTGCTACACACATGGTTTTATGGGTTCTAAAAGGAACAATCGATATAGTATTTAAACACATCTACATATGACTTTTTTATATTTATTTTTAAAGTATTAATAACTCTGTTGTTTAAGTCGTCTGTTGGATTTTTTGTGTGTGTTGTTTTTTTTTTATTTGTACTGTTTTTCATGTGTTCTACAACTACTTACTACTACTTCAGTCTTTTACTTCTACTTTTGTGTTATATTAGACGTGCTTTATTGTATATTTCGTTTGCATTTTTTCTTCTTCATTTACTTTTTTAAGAATTGCTTCAGTTCTGATTGTTTGAATCTTATTGTTTTTGTTGTTATTTTTACTATTAATACTTAACTGCATTCATATGGGGTACAGTGGTTTGTTTAGAGGATTAGGTAAAGATTTAATGTGAATTTCAAATAGTAAGAATGTTTAAAATTTTAATAATCGTTTAAATTTTATCATCCTAAGAACTATTTTATTTCAAAAATTTCCAATATCTTTTTGTAAAAAGATATCCACTTAAAATTTTTAGCTTAATATAACTTTGTGACAAAATTTTTTCACCAACAAAAAACTTTTTCCCGAAAAAAATATTTTTTGAATAATAAAAACATTTTCACCAAATAAATCGTTTTTTTTTTAAATCTTTTATTAAAAAATATTTTTTGATGAAAAAGCTTTTGCTGATTGCAATTTTTTAATTTTATTTTTGAAGAAAATTTTAAAATTACTTTTTGGGGTATATTATTTCATGAGAAAAACTTCTTAAGACACCACTGTTCTCCAATAGTTTTCTTTCGATTTGTCACTTTAAGGTTTGGACTATAAGAAATTGTTTCATTATTGTTAAATTGCTGCCGTTGCTTTTCCACTTAAATACAAATAAGTATCGAGTATATTTTGTTAAATTTACAAGCTCCACATACTGTATAATATTTGCTTTTATAACTTTTGCGCTTCATTTTCAAAATTTTAATTTCAAATGAAATTTGTATATTTTCTTCACATTTGTGTAATAGATGTTATTCTCTTAATAACAGTTCCAATAATGGATCCTAAAAACGCTTAAATTAAAAAAAAAATCAGTTTTTCTTTTATACTTTTACGAATTACATTTCAACTACCATTTAAAATAAATAATTTGTTATATTTCTTATCATTAAAGTAAATAAAACAACAAGATAAGCACAGCACATTATTCATTATCTCAATTATTATCTATAAAAAGAAAATTATAACAACAAAAAACAAATAAGAAACGTTCTTTTAATTTGATAAATGCAGTTCTATGATAAATAACTCATAAACGGACGGACACTGTTACAAATAATACACTTTGTCGCCTTTTGCTCAAAAGACTAAGGAAGCAAACTTTGTACGAAAGTGTGTGTTTGAGTTCAATTGTAGTCTTCGTATTGTCAACGTCATGTGTATAAATTTGTGTTTCTTTATTTATTTATTTATTTTTACTTAGACCTTGTAATTGTTTAAGTGTTTCAGTATTTTTTTCTTTATTTTTTTTATTGATAACATTTCTATAACAAAATAAAAACAAAAAAAAAAAAAAAAAAAAAAATACGAAAAAGAAATGGGACATTTAGTCTGGAAATGAATTTCAATTTAGTATGATTTTTAGCTTCATAAGTTATAAAGCTCTGTTGCTCTGATATCTGGTAATAAAAGTAATTACCTGAAATATTTTTGGTGTGTGTTTAAACAACTGTTTTTGAATAGTGAGGCAAGAAAAAAATTTATCTACAAATTTGAAACGACAACAGTCATAAATAAATACACGTAATTAAAACAGTTTAAAGAAAGAAATAAATGAAAAACAGTTTTAAATACTGTGACTAAAGTTAAATAATAAAAGCAAAAATAACCTCAAACAATTTAAAAAAATATTAAAAATTTCCTTTAGTTTTACTGGCTGCTGTTCTAATAAAATAATCTTGTATTCAAATTCTTTTTCAGTTGTAATATAAAAAACAAATTATATTAAAATGTTTATTATTAAAAAAACTTTTTGGTGTTGGTAACTAAATAAAAATTTAACTAAAACTATAAACCAAAAAACTAAATTGTATGGTAGTTGGCTACAAATTAAGGCTTAAGACCCTTAAATATAAAAAATAAACTAAAAAACAACTAAAGGTGAAGGTGTTTTCTAAAACCAATAAAGAAACATTATTAATCTTAATAATAACAACAAATATGGTACGTAGTCGACGCTCTATATCTAAAGAAGATGCCTCCTCGGTGTTGGATGATAGTGGCATTTCATTATCATCACCCCCCGCCAATCGTAAACATTTTCCTAATCTCAATGAACATGAAGAAGAAGCCATATTGGGTAAATTGTGTGTTACCGATGATGAAACAGATCCTGAAATTATAGAAGACAATACAATAGATAATGTTACTATCAGCGATAATGATGATGACGAAGAACAATCTGAAGACTCGGAAAAATGTAAGGTTTATGCCTCTGCTGAGCCTGGTGCTAAAAGGGCACGTAAAACTTACATTTGTGATATTTGTCATAAAGAGTTTCGTGGCAAATCGGATTTAACACGACACAAGTTTGTGCATACAAATGAAAAGCCCTTTAAATGTCAAACCTGTAATAACAGCTATCGACAAGAGATTAATTTAAAAAATCATATTATATCCGCGCATACAAAGGAGAAAAAATTTGCCTGTAAACAGTGTCCGAAAAGTTTTGCCCTTAAGGAGAGATTACGACTGCATATGCGTTTGCATACCGGAGAGAAACCCTATGGCTGTCAACAATGTGATAAACGTTTTGCCAGAGGTGGTCAGGTGGGTTATATACAAAATATAAAGAATTTTATTAAATTTGCCACAAATGTTTGAAAAAATCTTACAACTTAATACAGCAGTGGGATAGGAATATAGTATTTTTGTGAAGACTTTTCTTATTCTGTTGCTGAAAAAGAGTAATGAAACAATTTTTAATACAAATTAATTTTTATTTTTAAAATTTCAGTTACACCAACACATGGTCACCCATCATAATGATGCTCCTAAACAATTTAAATGTGAAATATGTTCAGAACGTTTCTCAACACCCTCTAACTTAAAGGCTCATATACAAGGTCATGAAGAAACGCCCGATTGTTATTGTGAAATATGTAATGAACATTTTGCCAATGATGTGCTGCTAAAGACTCATATCCATAAACTACATTACAAACTTAAGCAACAGGATTGTGATATTTGTAAAAAACCCATCGAAGAAAATGATTTGTTAAGTCATATGAAAACTCACAACAATGCCAAGACTTATGTATGTGAAATTTGCAATAGTGTATTTACCCAAAAGTCGCAATATAACGTACACATGCGTATGCATACGGGTGAAAGGCCTTTTCAGTGCAGGGTAAGTTTTAAATATCAAATAAATAAATAAATAAACTTTCCTAAATACGTTTTTTTTTCAACATTACAGATTTGCTGTCAAACCTTTGCCCATTCCAGTGTTTTAAAATTACACATACGCAAGCACACGGGCGAGAAACCTTTCAATTGTTTGCTGTGCAAAGATGATGAACTGGCCTTTTCCCAATTGGCCCACTTAAAGACACATATGAAGAAAATACACAAACAATTAAAACCCTACATGTGTGAGGG